ATAGCAAGAAAATGTTTAGCAGGAAAAGTAAGTTGCAGAAAAATAAGCTGAAATGATTCTATTTTTATAAAGTATAAAAAGCTAATCTGTATTTCATCTAATCTTAGATAAGAAATACATCTTAGATGAAATGGACAAGATAATACATAAGGCATCTATTACTAAAAAGAAAAAGGCAGCCATTTAAACTATCACCTGTCATAAACTTTAAGATGCATCTCCAAAGATTTTAAAATGGACAGTGAATGTGTTATTTAGAAATGATGTGGATTTTTATTTATCAATTATACCTCAATAAATCTAGGGTACTTAACAAAATGATTCTAAAAAAATTAAGCTGGGGGGAAAAAGTATCTAATGTCCAAATTATGGTCTTTGTGTGTGATTTCCCAATAAAAGCAACTGGCTTTGGGAGCAATTTCAGGTCTGTGCAGAAAATAAGCAAGATTAGCCTCAGAGAGATTCTTGGGCCAGAAAGCAAGGACACTATCAAAGATGGCTGGAATAATGTTGAAGGGGCCAGCTTAAAAAGGCTTCCACTGAATAAGATGGGACAATGTAAGCACTGATAAGAGTAATGGCTACATGGACTGAAAACACATCACATGTTTTTAAAAGCCATTAGTTTCTAATGAAACTCCAAACACAAATCATTATTGGATAACTTTGGAAGTCTCAGTTGATACGGATGAAAAGCCAAGCATTTATCATGCCTTTCGTGTACAAAACTGTTCCAGTTATTTATTGCTGCACAACAAACCCCAAATTTGCTAGCTTAAAACAATAATCATTTGTTTTATTCATGAATCTGTCGAGAATTTGGGCAGGGCTTGGCTTGGCCATTGTTTTGCTCCATTTTGCATTGACTGGGGTCACCGGGGGATATTCAGCTGAAGGCTAAGCTCCCACGGAGGATTCAATTCATCTGGGGATGGCCAGATGGCTGGGTACAACTGGGTCACTTTGGTCTGTGACCTATCTTTAAGTTTTTTCCCCAAAATTATGTTGGTTACAGATGAAATATAAATTGGCATGTCCTCTGCCATCCCAGGAAGAAAATATCCTATTGTGTTATTTAACGTAGCCAATTTGTCCCTACTGTAAATGGGTTATTTCATCAAAAATTTTGGCCATTTGAATTTATAAGGTACACATCCTCAGATATTTGTCTTGGCCTCACTAGCTCTTATCTTATGAATCTATAAAACCCAATTACTCCTAATGTTTCTTTTCATCAATTTCTCTTTCTGGTCTATTAGCAGCTTTTGCAAAGAAAGAACTTGGGCCTTAAGCATCCATGATGATCTGCTTAGTCATTTCTTCCAGCTTCTAAGCAATCTTTGATACAGGCTTCTACGCTTATCTCAAAATTTTCATTGAGTAGATCTTTTTACTTCCATATAATTCCAAAGTTGTGAATAACTCCAAAATAATAGCAGGTATCAATGTATATATTACATGTAATTTTTAGCAATTTGACAAGCCCTCAAGACAGCCACAAGTTCCATCCCTTGAGCTGATTTGGCTTCTGACAAGGAACTGAATTCTGTAACAGAGACTTACCCAGACAGCCTTATATTTTCTCTGTTCACTTTCAAGATAAGACACATCAACAAATTATATTTGTCTGGATTTGGGGTTTTCAAAAGATCTGTTATGAGTATAGCCACTTCTTGCACTAAAGAAACACTATCATGAGATTCTTTTTCATCTGGTAAGGATAATAGAGTTTCTTTTATTAATTAGCTGTTGGTAATGTGATACAGAGAAAGCAGCACTTTTATAATTAATTAATTGACTAGTAGAAAAATGTTGGGTATTTTCAGTTAGCAACAAGAGTTATACTGCATGTAATAACATCATATTTAAAGGTGATCGTAGCACATGATCTGAAGAGGTTTTGACAAAATTAGCTAAAGCTACAAAAGCTTTAAACAAGGAGGATAAGCAGTGGCTCTTTGGCATGATTCATGCTTAGTTATGGCCCCTAGAAGGGGGCTTTCCATTTCTTCACATACCTACAAAACTGAACTTTTATGACAATCTTGAAAGAATCAATGTATTATTATGGCTTTTGTTGCAAATATTCTGAGCATATCTGTGGACAATAGCTAATCCTTCAGTTATTTCTTGAATTATACATAGTGAAGGTTTCCCAATGCATAGACCAGTTATTATGTGAACATATGCAGGAAAATTTTAGGGAGTCTTAAAAACAACTCTTCTGCTATATTTTATCTGGAAGTGCCATGTAAGATGGAACTTATAGCATAAAAAGAAAGGATCTCATAATACTCCCAAACATTTAAATATTGGGTCTTGTGAAAAGATTTAGGATTGATAGAAATTCTGATTTCTGAATTGCTTTAGGTAAAACAAGGCAAGTGAAGTTTACTTTTCTGCAGGCCTTCTAAAACTTATAGGTACCTGCAAGTTTGTGTTTTCACTATTTTCTTTCACGTTATTTACACAACTAAACATTTTTACTTTAAGACAAAACTCTTTTTCCCCTTTTCTGTACTTATTACCAATCAATTCACATTTCTACTTGCTTTTCAACTTTAAAATGTTATTCTGAGAGATCTGGTGTTCTTAGAAGTAGAATTGGTGATAGGTATGGAGGCTTGTTTATCAATATAAAAGCTGCATCCTTGTCCATCTGTATTTATAGACAATTCCCCTTGAAGTTTTAGAGGAACAACAGGGGATTTCTGGGTGCTAAGTTTTCCCTCAGAGCTTCATAAATGGACAGATCTTGGATAATTATCTTTCTGTTTCTTGGAAAATATGGCTCATTGTTTCCTTCAGTGGCTTTTCTGTTTACATCTGTATTTCATCTAATCTTAGATAAGAAATACA